GACCTACTTGGAAATGAATCCTCCGGACTCACAGCGCTGTCGGATGTCGGTTCCTTCAGGGAACAGCAGCTCCGGCTGATGGAGGACATCCACCAACACCGAAAGCTCAGCGTTCACCAGTGGCTTCAGACGCTCCTCCAGAGTGTTTATGATGTCCTGAGGAAGATACAGAGGGAACAAGGTTAAATACAGTTTACTGCAAGTTAATGTAAATAAAGAAAAGGGTTTTTTTCGGTGTGCCCTTGTGCACCTGCAGCTTCTCGATGATGTTCTTGTAGTCCCAGGGGTTGGTAGGAGCGCTAGGGCGGACGTGGCGGGAGGAGGATTTGTAGTTTGGATTGGTGCGCGACAAAGAGTTCAAAGCTGAAGTGGACAGCATGGTGTTGATCTGAGCCTCCAGTTCCAAAGGCACAGAGATGGAGCGACTCTTAGCTGCACAGAGAGAGAACTTTATTTAATGTTCAAAATTCACAAGACTTAGTCAGCCTTTTTTAAGTGGGAATGTGAGAGAAAACTTTGGGAATCATTCATGGCTCAGACGTAATGCGGTGCCAGGTTTGTTACCTGTCACAGCGAGCGTCTTGATGCATGCCTCCACCTGCCCTCTGTGCTGCTGCTGCAACCAGGGACAGTCCAGCAGCCTGACAGACGACTGAAGCAGCTGAGTCACGATGGTGTGGTGAGTCTGTCAGAGACAGAGAAGCGGTCAGCTAACTGGACCTACACCTAAACGGTTTTATATCACCAAGGTGAAGCATTTCCTTCACCTGCAGAGAAGTGCTGTTTTCAGAGAAAGGGGAGCTGAAGAAGGCGTTGATGGTGTCAAAAACCACGCCGATGATGTATTTCTCCAGAACGGGATCGGAAAGACGCTTTTCTCGTTTATTACAGACCTGCAGAGAGGGAAAAAACCCGAATATCAGCACCATGTCACGTCAGGTTGTTTTTTGTCTACTTTCTTATGGATATGACTCTCAGAAACTGTTTATCTGCTGTAGATAGTTTTTTTAGGCTTGTCACTTTTTTGACCTCCTATTCTTCAATTTCCTCAGATATTTTTTAAGGATACTCCCCACACAATGCTGG